TAGAGACGGGGTTTCACCGTGTTGACCAGGATGGTCTCGATCTCTTGACCTCGTGATCCACCCGCCTCGGCCTCCCAAAGTGCTGGGATTACAGGTGTGAGCCACCGCGCCCGGCTACTTTTGCTTTTTTTAAATTTTATTTTTATTGTATATATTTTAAATGTATAACTTGATTTTTAAATGAGGAAGCAGACTCAGCTAATAAGTGGTTGAGCCAACGTTTGGTTCAGATATGTCTAACTTCAAAACTTTTATGTGCTTAAACTCTATATTACACCACCTCCCCTTTAAGCTCATGTACTATTTATTTATTTAGAGAGTGAGTCTCGCTCTGTCATCCAGGCTGGAGTGCAGTGGCAAAATCTCAGCTCACTGCCTCCCAGATTCAAGCAATTCCTCTGCCTCACTGTCCTGAGTAGCTGGGATTACAGGCATATGCCACCACACCTGGCTAATTTCTGTATTTTTAGTAGAGACTGGGTTTTGCCATGTTGGTCAGGCTGGTCTTGAACTCCTGACCTCAGGTGATCCACCCACCTCAGCCTCCCAAAGTGCTGGGATTACAGGCGTGAGCCACCACACCCAGCCTAAACTCATGTACTTTAGCTCATGCTCATCCTCCTTTAGTGCCAAACACAGTTTTACCAAACTTGGTCAGACTAAGCTCTAAGTCAGAAGGCTGGGAGTTGAAGAATTAAGTGTCTCAAGAAGTGATAGATGGCAAGACAACCCTTAAAAGCAGAGCCTTCTCAGGCACAATACCCTTTACTCCTTAGTAACTGCTGAGCTCCATAAGAAAAGACAGTCATTGATGTTTGTAATTATTGAATCATAGATTTTTAGACATGACAGCATTAAAAGAGGCAAAACTGTATTTCATATTTTCTGCTTCAGGAAGCAGGTAATATGTGATACAGAAAGACTTGTCTTGGGTTTTCCGCAGAGCAGAGCCTGAGACAAGGATTTACATGCAGGTATGATTTTTTAGAGGTGACCCCAAGAAGCAGGAGGGAGAGTGGGAAGAATGAAACAGAGCAGGAAGAAAGGATATGTTAACGTTATTAAAGTTGCCTTAAGGGCAAAGGGAGCTGAACTCTACCAGCACCTCCTAAGAAGCCTGCAGAACAGCATCCAGAATTGTCCCGTGGATCTGCTGGCTCCTGCCTCGACTCGGTTGCAGGTTGACCCTGGGTGCTGTGCCTGCATGGCTGAGTAGGCTCCTGCATCAGTATTGGAGAAAGCCTTGGTACAGAAAGATGGGCAGTGCGTGCTGGGGCATGGGGTCTACTACCCACAAGGTGGGCATGCACTTGTGCTATACTGTCCCCACAGCTGTGCCTGAAATCACAGTGACCCAAGCAGATGCATCACAGGACATCAGAAGACCTGCTAAAAACATTTCCATCCAAAACGCTGCCAGAGAATGCTTTGGCGCTTAGTGAGCTTCAGCTCTCTAGAGAAGGAGGCAATATATAGACCCTCACATGCCAAAACTCTGCTAAATAGATGAGGTGTTGTAATATCATAGTTTTCTGTTTTACGTAAAGCACCCTCAGTGATTTCTGTCCCTTGCTGTAGGAATTGGTGGAGGAATTATCCATCAGCACGAATTGATCCATGGAAGCTCCTTCTGTGCTGCAGAACTGGGCCACCTTGTTGTGTCTCTGGATGGGCCTGATTGTTCCTGTGGAAGCCATGGGTGCATTGAAGCATATGCCTCCGGAATGGCCTTGCAGAGGGAGGCAAAAAAGCTCCATGATGGTTGGTGTCCCTCTCTCAAGGAATTAAGTAACCAAATGGTAGACATGTACTTCAAAGTGGAAATTCCAAAGAGAGTTGAACCCTGAAGCCAGAAGTTTCCCCCTTTTCACTTCTTAGAGAAAGAGCAGGACTCCCTTGCACTAAAACAGCACAGTCTCCTTGGTCCTGATCCATACTGGCACTCTTCCTCCCAAGGGGTGGAGGTGGACAGAGGTCTAGAGTTCCAAGACAGCAGGGAAGATTCCCTTCATTTTTGTTTTCTCAGCCACTAGCACAGAGTGGGTACTTAATACACATTTTAATGAAGAAATAAATGGACAAAACATGTTATACTTTAACTCTGAAAGATCTATTCCAATGAAAGCTGTTTCTGGACATGTTATGAAAGTTAGGATGGTTTCTAGGCTAACTCAAGAGCATTTACTATCATTACTGAATGTCCAGTGCAATGAGCGTGATGGCTGAGGAATGTAGATACATGTAAGAGGGAAACCAGAATCCACTTTGTGTCCTCCGCATGCAGGGAAGGGCGTGCCAGGGTGCCATCCTGCAGGGTGAGAGGTGGAAGGTAAGTGGAATTAGCCAGGCAGCTTTGGATGGCCAAGGGAGCTTGCAGGCAGGGAAACAGTCGTGGTGGTACTTAAGGGCAATTCAGGGTGTCATCATGTAGTGTGAGGAAGCAGGACCAGTCGGTGGTGGAAAAGCCACTAAAACATTTTAGGGAAAAGACATAGTCAGATCTGAATTTTAGATTCTTCACTAAACTCTAACTTTTTATTTCTGGGGGAGAAAAGGGTAGTTGAATGGAGATGGTTTTAAGTGGGACAGTTCTAGGGTGACTTCTAGTTTTCTGGTTGGACAACTCAGGATTAGGAATTGAAGAGGAGGGACAGGTTTGGCAGACGATGGTTGGTGGCTGTAGGACATCCAGGTGGAAATGTCTAGGAGGTAGTGGGGTACGAGGTCTGTTGCTCAGGAGAGATAGATGACTGGGTTAGAGGGGTGATCTGGGATTGTCGGCACTGAGGTGGTGGTTAAACCCATGACAGAGCCAGGGAGTGAGGTGAAAGACAGAATCAAGGATAGACTCCTGAGAAACATTAGCATGTGAGGGGCAGGGAGAGAGATAGGAGGAACACCAGGAAAGGGAATTGTCACAGACGCCAAAAAGGGAGAGTGTTTGGACGAGAAGCAGTTAGCAATGTCAAGGGCTGACACGAGTAAGAAGAAATTAGAAAAGTTCATTGGCTCTGGCCACCAGGATATCATTTGAAGCCTTAAACCAGGGTTTATTTTTCAACTTTGTTTTCATTATCACCCTCCTAAGGAGCCCCTTTAGATGTTTTTTTTTTTTTTTTTCCCCTGATGAATCCTCCGCATGCAACTTTAGCACCGCAGCTGTACTGCTTACCTGTTTATGTTTGTGCACTGTATGTGCGGTATATCTGTGCTTCATACATAAAGAGTATAGCATTTTTGGCCCCCAAAACCAATCTGTGAGCATATGCTGACATAAAGGAGATGGGGAATGGAGGCCGAGAGCGTAGGTGAGAAGGGTATAGAGCGCTACAGCAGGGTTCTGAAGGGGTGGGAAGAGATGAGCCGCAAAGCCAGGCAGAGGGCCCACAAGAGGGCACGACGAGTGGAGATGATGGGTGGATGGGATGGGGAGCAAAAAGGAAGGGGCTCACTGCCTGGTGGTGCCCCCTTTGAGAGAGGTAAGAAGTATGCACATCTGTTGGCAGTTGGGGGGTAGAAGGACCGGGGAGCTGGTGAAGGTACAGAAGAGAGCAGTCCGGGAGAATGGGTGAGAGCTGTGAGGGCCCAGGGGAGATAGGAGACCACCAGTTGAAGTCTAGGTAACAGCTTGCACAGCTGGGGATTTTCTTCTTTCAGGGTCCAGGTATCCTAGCAGATTAGGAGGCAGATTGATCTGAGTTGGTAAGAACTACAGATAACCACAGAAAGACCTGCTGCTTATTGAGCATTTACTCTGGCCAGCACTTAACTAAGTACTTTATGTCCATAATCTCATTTAATCCCTAAAATAACCCTGCCAGGGTAGGTATTATTGCCCTCATCTTCTAGGAAGGAAGAACATGTAGAGGTGAGGTGACACACACACACAGGATTGTGCAGCTGGGAGTGGCAGAGCTGGCACTGACCCCAGGCCTGTTCCTTGGCCGCTATGCCTTGCTGCCATAGAACGTGTGGCCCTGGCAGGTGGTGCAGCATTGCGTCTGGGATGAGTAAGGAAGGAGTGAATGTGGGAGGAGGGTGATAATTTGGAGAAAAGAACACTTCAAAGGCCGTCTGCTACTGGAAGTGAGAAGTGAGGGAGCCAGAGGGGTAGGAGGCTGTCAGACTTGAGGTTTTTCCAGGAAGATAGGCTCTGGGTTATGTCCAACCAACTAGCAAGAGAGTAGCAAAGGCTTCAGGGGCAGTGTATAGAGATGTTTGTGAATGATAAGCTTTGCAACTGCGAAAAGAAAACTGTCTTCCCACATAGGAGATTGCTGCCCACAGGCCCAGTAGTTAGTCTGGCCTCCAAACAGCTCATTAGTGACTGCTTTTCCCCTCCCTCTGCTCAGAGGACCTGCTGTTGGTGGAAGGGATGTCAGTGCCAAAAGATGAGGCAGTGGGTGCACTCCATCTCATCCAAGCTGCCAAACTTGGCAATGCGAAGGCCCAGAGCATCCTAAGAACAGGTGAGTATGTGGCTGCAGGTGGCTTGCTGCAGAGGGTGGGGTCAGACATCATATGGCCCAGCCGGGCCCAGAAGAGACCCTGCTTCCCCTAGGGACAGGTGCTTTGCAGTGTCTATTCAGAGGTATTTTCCTACTTACTCAGAGGTAAAAAGGGACTTGCATTCAAGGTATTTGGCAGCATTGCCTTTTTAAGCAGGTGTTTGGTTTGGTTTGACAACTCTAAAAATGTCCCTTGTTCATTTACAGGAAATTTAGAGAAATATAGGACAGTTGTAAGAAAAAATATCACTTAAGAGTTTTCCTGTTCGGAAGATATCGACTATGAACATTTCCTTGGAGTCTTTCTATTCATTTTTCTGCCTAGCGGATCATGTGATACACCCTGGTTTCTCCACTTTAGGGTGTCACATGATCATTTTCTCATATTAAGAATCAACCGTGAACTGCTTTTAAAACACTGCTTCCCACTGCATGCTGTGATGTTCTTTACCATTTCTGGCTGCTGGTTCTTTTCTGCCTTCCTCTTTTGTATTTTGATTTTGCCTTCTCTCAGAAACCCATTTTAATTTTTGTCTCCCTGTAGCTGGAACAGCTTTGGGTCTTGGGGTTGTGAACATCCTCCATACTATGAATCCCTCCCTTGTGATCCTCTCTGGAGTCCTGGCCAGTCACTATATCCACATTGTCAAAGACGTCATTCGCCAACAGGCCTTATCCTCCGTGCAGGACGTGGACGTGGTGGTTTCGGATTTGGTTGACCCCGCCCTGCTGGGTGCTGCCAGCATGGTTCTGGACTACACAACTCGCAGGATCTACTAGACCTCCAGGAACGGACATGGACTGAGATTCAAGAGCTCTGGAGTGGAATCAAATTCTTGTTTTTAGGATACCATTTCTTTACAAGCAAATCTGGTATTGAACAGCAGGTGACTTTGGCAGAGAAATGTTTTTGCTTTTGGTCTCCTCTTCCAGAGTCACCTTTCCCAAGTCCTATTTTTGTAGATGCTATTCTTTCTGATGTTTTCCTAGGAGGGGTCATTTTAGCTCAAACCCTGTAAGTTCCAGTCACAATTTTCTGTGCCAAACTAGCTATAATAATGGACAAGGAAGCCTTAGAACTCTGCTTACTTATGAATTATTATCACTGAGACCTGCAGTCCTTGCCTGGGATGTCACTTCATCCTGAAGTTTGCATTAATAATCCTTCCTGCCAGGCACGGTAGCTCACGCTGGTAATCCCAGCACTTTGGGAGGCCGAGACGGGTGGATCACCTGAGGTCAGGAGTTCAAGACCAGCCTGGCCAACATGATGAAACCCCATCCCTACTAAAATACAAAAATTAGCCGGGGATGGTAGCATGCACCTGTAGTCCCGGCTATTCAGGAGGCTGAGGCAGGAGAACTGCTGGAGGCCAGGAGGCAGAGGTTGCAGTGAGCTGAGATCACGCCACTGCACTCCAGCCTGGGTGACAGAGCGAGACTCCGTCTTAACCAAAAAAAAAAAAAAAATTCTTCCTCCTCGAACCCCAAACTGAGATCACAGAAAGTGATCTAGTCAGGGAACAGAAGAAAATCTTACCAGGAAGGGCTTAAGTACACTTTTTTAAAAACAGCTTTATTGGTGTTTTTTTTTAAGCCTACAATTCGGTAAGCCTTGACATATGTATACCTGTGAAAGCATTACCACAATCAAGACATCATCGGACATATCTATCAATCCCCCAGTCTCAGATATCCCCCCTGTAACCCTGGATAGCATTTGTTGAAAGATGTTATTACTCTAGCTGAACTTATGAGACTTTAGACCAGGGATCTAAATTACAGTGGCCTCAGTGACCTTGTCCTTATCTTCTTAGGACAGCTGAGAAGCCACTGGGACTTAGAGCCTTTAAAAGGAGATTTACTATCCCAAAAGGATCTTCGCTACTGACCAGCAGACTATTCTCCCTTCAATAGCCTTTCATACTGTGTTGAAGAAGACCCTAGGGTGTTTATTAAAGCCGTGTTTGTATGAGTTTTACCTAGAGCCCAGAGCCATGAATCAGGATTCTGGGTACATAATTCGTGCTTTCATTGGTATCAAAATACAAAAGCCAAAGTTCTGGCTATGAATTGTAACTTGGAAGAAATACTAACTGCCACCACCCATTAAGTGCCTACTGTGAGTCAGGCTTTGAACTAGGTGTTTCATATACATTATCCTAAATTCTCTCAACATCTGAGGTAGGTGTTTTAATTTTTATTTTATAGAACTTAGTGTGTTTAACTATTAAGCTATGGGGCTAGAAAGAGGGTTTGATCTCAGGTCCCTCTGTGCTTTTTCTGCTAAGCCACACAACCTCCCATTTCAAAAACACTTTTGAAATGCTACTATATTCTAATTCACTCCAGGCCACCAAAAGCTTTAATACTAATATCTGATTTGTAAATGACTTAATGTATCCTTGACCCTATGTCTCAGCTGTGAATTTAATCAAATATTCCTCTCGGCTATGAAATTTTGCCAGTACAGTATTTGGTCTAGTGACAGATATTTTGTTTGTTTTTGAGAGAGCGTCTTGCTCTGTCGTCCAGGCTGGAGTGCAGTGGCATCTCAGCTAACTGCAACCTCTGCCCTCCGAGTTCAAGTGATTCTCGTGCCTCAACCTCTCAAGTAGCTGGGATTACAGTGCATGCACCATGCCTGGCTGATTTTTTTTTGTATTTTCAGTAGAGACAGAGTTTCACCATGTTGGCCAGGCTGATCTTGAACTCCTGACCTCAGGTGATCGCCTGCCTCGGTCTCCCAAAATGCTGGGATTACAGGTGTGAGCCACTGTGCCCGGCCCTACTGATAGGTTTTTAGGGGTAATTTTAGATTATCTACAAAAGCATATGCATATATTTTTCAGATTGTTTTTTATTTTGGGAAAATGAAGGTTTCTATAACATATTGTTTCAATGTTCAAATAAACTGAAGGAATCAATATCGCATTTGAACTATATCCTTCCTAGTGGGTTAGTGTGAAAAAGAGGTTTGGCTGATTCCTAGAACTCTATCGGCCCTGCAGTAATCTCTAGGGCCTGATTATTGTTCAAACATTCCATGGTGATTCCTGGGAAGGAAGCTTGGCTGCTCAGTTTCTGAGTCTGGGGTGAGATGATGTTCCATGAAGGAACATCTGTTCTTTGGTATAATCTCTTTTGGTGAAATCTGCTCTGTACATCAGACAATTGCATTGCTACCAAGTTTCCTACCAAATATTTGAAAGGATGATATTTAATCTAAAACCAAATATTAGTTTTTATTAAATTCATGGAAAGTCTAATATATTCCAACATAAATTATTACATGTGGTTAAGTGCATGTTAATTTATTTTGATGTAAATATTTTTGTTACTGTTCTGAGCCAAATTCTAAAGAAAAAATAAATACATTTCCTTGTTGAAATCTTGTGTTCTGTTTTGTTCGTAACTCACTAGCCAAAAGCATTTTCCTTCCCAGAAGAGATTTAAAGTTGTTGCACTGCTTACATTTTAAAGGTTATATAATTTCCTTAAGGCATCTAATATCTTTGCTTTCTTAACAACAACAAAAAAAAGTCTATTAATAGAAAGCATGGCTGGGCATGCGTTCTAAGCTTAGCACTTTGGGAGGCTGAGGCAAAAGGATTGCTTAAGCCCTGGAGTTTGAGATCAGCCTGGGCAACATGCCAAAACCCTGTCTCTAAAAAATAATACAAAACAATTAGCCAGGTGTGGTGGCTAGTGCCTCTAGTCCCAGCTACTCAGGAGGCTGAGGTGGGAGGATCACCTGAGCCCAGGAAGTTGAGGCTGCGGTAAGCCATGATCATCCCATTGCACTCCAGCCTGGGTGACAGAGTGAGACTGTCTCAAAAACAACAAAAACAAAACATTATTGTACATTAACATTGAAAATTTGGCTTCAAGGGCAAAGTAGTGCCAAGAAAGAGGTTCGAAACTAAGTGTTGAGCACTCACTGAGTTCCTGGACCCGCTCTCTCCTTTTATAAGGCCCCATGTGGGTCTCATACAGGCATTAGAAACAACCCCAAGTTACTATTGCTGTTTAACAACCTCAAAACTGAAGAGCTTAAAACAACAGTAATTGTTTCATATCACAGTTCCTGTGGGTCAGGATTTGGGAAAGGCTCAGACTTGACAGTTGTAGCTCCATGTCCTGCACTTGTAGTTGTCAGCTGGAATAGCAGGAGGCTGGCTGGCCAGGCATCTCCCACTGTGTGTGGTTACAGGGTCTCAGATGGCCTGTGTGTGAGCTAGTTTGGGATTCCTCACCACATGGGTAGCTTCAGAGTGGTAGTTTTTTACGTGGTGGCTCAGGGCCACCAGCTAGTTGTTTCAACAAACCAGCCATAAGCAGCACTGCCTTTTATGATCTAGCCTTGGAAGTCATCCCAGCATCACTTTTGTCACATTATTCAGTCACCTCTCCATCTGAAGAATGGCACAGATTTTGCTGACATTTAAAATTGCCACTTCCCACCTCAAGAAACCCGTCTGGTGTGGGAGGCAAGACTAGTCCAGACGATGGCACCAAGACTACCAAAGAGTAAGCTGCCCCAGGTAGATGGCTATGGAAGATCAGGGGAAGGGAAGTGGCCTTTGAACTAGTTCTTAAAATTGGATTCTGACATTTGGAATGGCATTAGCAGTTCCCAGTAGGAACGAAAGCCTGCGAACAGTGATTGTTTGATTGTAATCAGATTTGACTGGAGGAGGAGGAATAAGCAGAGACCAGAAATGTGGGCCAGGTCAAGGAAAGCTCAACTAAGAAGCTTGGAAAGCGGGGAGATAGCAAGAAAAGTAATGGAAGCTCCTTCCAACCAAAAGTAATTAATATGAAGGAGATAGTGGCCTTTCCTTCTTGGCAATGACAACACCTAACCCCCATCCTGAGCATGGCATTACAGTTTGCCTCAATCTCCAGTTTGGAAATACCAGGTAGTTAAAAGCAGATTACTGAAATATGGCTTTAATAAT